AGCTCATCATCGGCTCTCTGGTATGGACGTGGGTCCAGAGGTGCGAACATTGGAAGATGCTCCCATACCCACAACAGTAGGATGAACATCTCAACACCAGCTTGTTTTGCTCCCACCTTCGAGCAAGTGCACAGCTCCCGGTATAGGCCAGCTAACACGGCCGATCCCCAACTCTTTTCCCCGATTGCGTCCCAGTCACCAGTGAGCAATGGCAACCATATGCCTTGAATCCACCGGTTTGACTTGTCGAGGAACATAAATCCACCCACCAAACCAATGAGGTAGATGCGTGCATAGAGCTCCACTTGATCTTCTGGAGTCTCGTCATTGATTTCAACCTCATTTTGGATGTGAGTTACTAGCCACGGGACCGACACTTGTCCCGCATTCAACGGTGGATGCCCCCGTCCTTGAATTGTTGTGGTGGTCGGCAGGTCAAAGCCCAAACGATCATGAATGAGCGGCCCCCAACCTCCTTCGGGTTTGGTAGTGGAACCAATGATGGCATCTCCAGAAATCGGCAGCCCGGTGAGGATCGCCACGTCTTTGAGGGTGATCGTCATTTCCCCCTCCGGAAGGTGGAACGTATGGGTTTCGGGACGCCATCGCTCCGCCATTGCCGTAAGCAGATCTTTGTCGATTTCGATCCGCATGAAATGGCGCAACATACCCAACCCGGTCCTCTCTATATAGGGCGCCAACCGTGGATGCCAAGCGGGCAAGTTTGTGGTCCCTTTATGAACGACGGGAATAAGTGATTCCTTCAAAAAAAAAAAAAAGGAAACACATCAATTTGTTAGTTTAAATAAAGCAAAATAAAACCTTAGAAAATAATAAAATAAAGCAAATAAATCATCAAATTACCAGATTGTTACCCCAAATAGCACGGGAGCGATGAGCTTCTTGATCGGTTAAGAGTCTCATATCTCTTGCCCATAATGGATATACAATCGAGGATCGTATATCTCGGCACCCATATATAAAAAAGTAATAAAATCAGAGATTGTTTTGATAAAAAAAATCATAAAATCAAATCCTTTCGATTAAAAATAAAAACATAAAAAAAAAAAACAATAAACCTACACGAAGAGCCTCTTCGTCCATTTTTTGGCACGATGGGACGGGGGCTTTACGGTCATACTCTAGTAATTCTTTCTCATGTGGAAGATCGGAATTAGCCGAAACCACATAGCGTACTTAGAACGAGGCTAGAGCGGATAAATTGAGGGAGAAAGAATTGTAATTGTTGTGGCGTGGTTTGTAAGTGGGGGAAGGGTCCATTTATAGTGGGGGAAGGGGGGAAGGGTTCTGCCGAGAATTTAATTGGGGATGCTTCACCGTGTTCGACGAAGACGGTGAATACACCGCCTTTATCGAAGACGGTGAAAGGGGCGGCGTGGCTTGCTGTGAGGCGTCGGATCTGGGATGAAAACCACGATCCGCGCCTCACCGCATCTGACGGCCACGGTGAAAGGAACAGCGACGCGGATCGCTGACGCAAACAAACACGGGGTATTCACCGTGTTTGTCTAACGCGGTGAATACAACACGTTTATCCACGTCAGTGATCCGCGTCGCTTCATCGTGGCCTACAGAAACGGTTTAATATACACCACGTTTCATTAAAACAGTGATCTGTTCACCGTTTGCCTCTAAAACGGTGATTGACTCGCTCATTGTTCACCGTTTTAGAGAAGAATGGTGAATACGTCACCATTTTTTTTAAACAGTGAAATATTCACCGTCTTTGTCAAACGCGGTGATAGTATTCACTACGTTTGTCAAAAACGCTGAATGCCAAACATGTGTACTTTGTGAAAATTTTTTATAACTTATGTATTTTGGGAAATTTTTTTAAGAACATATGTACATTAGGATTTTTTCCCAACTCAAGAAGTGCCGTAAAATATATTTCCGTATGTCTCTACAATTGGAGTCAAACCCAATGTTTAATTTGTCTTCGGGACGGGATATGCTGATGACAGGTGTCATGCGTTGTATTGACACTTGTTCGCATTTGTAGACTTCTTGAGAAGAGTAATCAAAGGGTCAATTGTATGGTTAGTCACTGAGATTACTAAAACCGTTCAAATTTGGTCACTCGAAATATTTAAATCCATTGGGGTAATTTAGTTTACTGAAATCATTCACGTTTGGTCAAACTCAGTTAACTTTTGCTTACGTGGCGGTCAACTATAAAAGTTGACCGTTAAAAGTGTGATGTGGCATATAACTTGTAATTATAAAATTTAATTTCTATTTATTTTCATAGCAAATGAATAAAATAAAATAAAAAATAAAACCATGCCTCCCGTCTTCACCTTTAACCCTCTTCCACCGCCACCGTCGGAGCTTAAATACTCCTCATGTCCTTACCTCTGCCACTTCCCGCACTCGCTCCGCAGCTTAGCTGATGTACGTTGGCTTCTTCTTCCTCTCTTTGTTGCTCCCAGAATCTCTTTCAATTTCACAAGAGGGGTAGTTGACATTTACTTGGGTGGAGACAGAGGGCTTGAATGGTGACAGGGAAGGCCTTGAGGCGAGACAAAGCGTCGACGCATCTTGACTCGTCAACAGCAGCAGCTTCGCCACCATCATGGCGGCGTCGGCTCGCACCCAGACCTCCTCCCTCCATCACCGACGAGAGCATCAGGTTAGGCTGGGGCGAAGCATGGAGCGGCGAACTGTGACAGGGAAGGCCTCTTAGCCTCACCTACCTCTCTTCTTCCACTTTCTCAACTCCAATAGGTGAGCATAGTCGTATCAGCTCCAGGATCTAGCAAACGAGATCCGACAAACGGCGAAGGGCTAGCGGCGCTCCCCTACCTCGTATCAGCTCCAGGATCTAGCAAAAGAGATCTTACAAACGGTGAAGGGCTAACGGCGAAGGGCTAGCGGCGAAGGACGGATAGACTCCCTTCATTGCCGCTAATCTCCGTTGCTTCCTCAACTCTCATCTTCCTCAACTCCGAATCGGCTCCCTTATTCGAATGACGAAGGGCGAACAACGAATCGGGTCCAAAATTTGGTGAACGGGATCTGGTGAATGGCGAAGGTTGAATCGGCTCCATGCAACACTGGCCTCCGCTGACCTCCACCTCTCCCTCTCTCGTTGCTTCCTCACCCGACCCTAATTTCCCCCAAATCCAGTTGTCGTCGAACCTCCTTTCACTAATGAGATGTCAATTTTGAAAATTTTAATTTTATTAATTTTAAATTGCCTTGTCACACATTTAACGGTCAACTTTTAATGTTGACGGCCACGTAAGCAAAAATTAACGGAGTTGGACGGAGAGTGACCAAACGTGAACGATTTCAGTAAACTGAAATACCACCAATTGATTTAAATATTTCGAGTGACCAAACTTTAACCTTTTTCGCAATTCAGTGACCAACCATGCAATTAACCCAGTAATCAAATTTTGAAATGTGTCCCCCTGCAATCCATAGTTCAAATTTGTACATTGTTGAAATGTGCTCTTCCGGGCCAATAACTCCAGCCTTCCAACCGCCGAATGGCATTCCTTTTTATTGGAGTCAGATCAGATCCCACCATTTTATTTGTCTTTGGATGGAAGGCCGGCACTTGAAGCGCGTTAACACACCAGCCTGCATCTGCTAGTAATGGATGTGCTGCTCTGTCGCGTTCTCAATCAGAGTTATTGCAGTTACTGAGTCTGTTTGTAGGAGAACTTTCCTGACTCCTTGCTCCCAAGCAAGATCCAACCCATACACAATACCAGCCAGCTCCGCACGAGTGATGGAACCTCCTCCAAGGTTCGCCGTGAATGCTCTGATGAAGCGGCCATCACTCCCCCGTATGATGCCGCCACAAGTGCTCTCTGGAGAATGGATGACTGAGCCGTCGGTGTTGACACAGACCCAGTCTTGCGCCGGTGGTTGCCAGCCAATGAGGCGCTGCTCACGGGTGCCCCCAGTCCCGAAAACTATTTTCTCCTCGTCGAAGGCTTTGTTGATCTCGTCCCGAAGCTGTCTTGTAAACATTGCTGGTTAGAGTCGATTCTAGAAATATTCAGCTCATTGGAATTCCATAGCATCCAGATTCCCCTAGAGAAGCCCACGGCATCAACTATAAGATTTTCGTCGTAACCCATCTTGCGAATGACATCAATAGCTCGGCTCCCACTTATTCTGGGTTCCACTATGATCACAATATGGGGTTTAGACTTTCTACGATACTCACGAAAAGCTCGTAGAAAGTCCTTACCCCCCGCTCCCCTACAGTTCCATGAAAAAACTTTATAATCCATAAAGAAAAAGGAAGAGGAAAGAGACACTCCCTTAGATTTACGCAGTCGGCGGCAGTGTCCCGTCGATTTGCATCCCCGATGAATTATTCTCTGTTCACGGTCGTGTCCTGTGACTGCATTTGCCCGTTGTGAGGACTGAGGTCTGGCAGTCGACCCTTTACTTCATCTGCCCTTGGTGTCACCGTCGTCCGGGGTGGCCGTTTCCACCTTCTTGCTCTGTGCTCGAAAGGGTCGGCTCCATGACCTCCTGGTTTGGTTGGCCTGCTGTTGTACCCGTTTTGGAGTTGACAGTCTGGGTTTCCCTTTCTTTTCCAGTCGCTTCTAAAATTGTTGCTCCCGATGGACACCGCAGCTCGAGGCTCCCTGGACCGCATACTCTCCTTTTCTTGGCTCACCGGCGGTGTCTGTTTTGGGATTTTGTTCTTACTCCTACTGCTTCCTGACTGTTGTTGCATTCTGTTGATGGTCACAGTAGGAGTGTCCGCATGTTCAGACCCCGGTAGTATTATATCCTCCTCCTCAAGGGCAGCAAAACGTGATCCCCCGGCATGCTGATGTGTGTCGTGAGTCGTTTTGGTTCCCTTCAGACTCACATTCGCTCCTTGGTCCTTCTTCTGGGTACGGGGTTTGCGTTTGGCAATCATCGATTCCCCATAGAGGGGTTCATTTTGGTTAGCCGCTGGCGTGGGTTCCTGCACCGTGTGCTCCGCTTCCATAGGTGCCTGCGACTTAACGCACGAGCAACCCCCACTTCTCTGCAGAGGTGCCACAGTTCAAGCAGATATTCTCCAACCCTTCGTACTGGATAAAGTATTTCTTGCCTCTGATGGAGAATTTCGACAGTAAAGGTCGGGTCAGGTCCACTTGAACACAAACACGGGCGTAGTCACTTTCGGCCTCTGTGCGAGTGGCTTCATCAATTCGGAATGGTCGTCCAATACGACGCCCAATTTTCATCATGGCCTCTTGGTGAAAGTAGTGAATCAGAATATCAAGAAGTTTCGCCCAAACTAACGTCGATGAAATTTCATGATTGTAAGGGTCGAAATTCTTGTCCCACATGTGCACCGATAGGTAGTTCGGACCAATCATCCACGGGCCGTTCGTGACTGCTCTATCGTAGTCCATGCCACTCGTGAAACGAACGAGGAAGTAGCCATTCTTCATTGAAGTAACTTGGATTCCTCCTGCCTTCGCCCATATCGTGTTCAGTCGGATAGACACCGCTGTGTACGACACTAATCTGCCCAGTGGTTTCACTATCAGGGCTGATCTCAGCTTGCGGCAGTATTCCCTTTCCTCGGCTGCGGTGAAATAGATCGGCGGACAGGTAGGGTCTTCCTCGCCGTCAAAACCCTCCTCCAGACCATCCTCACGCATTGCCGTTGCATAATCTTCACTGTCAAAATCCGCCGTGTACCACTCGTCCATGCGAGCTACCCCCCCCCCCCCCCCCCCGAATAACCTGCGCGCTGCTCCTGTCCCGTTTGACCATGCGTTTGGCCTAGGGCTTAGCGGCGGGGTAGTACCTGATCCATCTGCTTTGCTCGGACCCTCGTGTACCGGAACAGCTTGCGCCGGCGGCTCCGTTTGCTTTACTCTCTTCTTCATATGTTGCGCTTCCCTGTCACTTTTTGGGTTTGGGGACGACGTCTCCGTAGGGGGTCGCCGTTGCCCCGCGATCGTCTCAAGATGGCTGGCCGCATGTAGGTTGCCCCCGGCCGGCGGCACGACGTCCGCCGACATCACGTCGAGAACCTAGCTCCAGTCCAATCGGTCGTTCGCCCTCCGAAATTTGCGGAGCAAAAACCCTAGATGCGATAATTGAATTTGCTAGTTCAAAATTTAACACATATTTAGAAGAATAGTTCAAATATTCTTTTATCGTGTCAAATATTCTAGGATTTAGGAGATATGGCAAATATTCCTTTATCTTGTTTTCTCATTCGAATATATGTAGGATTTGGGAGATATGGCAAATATTCTTGTCACAACGGTTTCTATAGATTGGAAAATCGGAAGATCAACAAAGTAAGAAAAATGAAAGCAATAAATGAAACACGACACACGGATTCACGTGGTTCACTAACACAACGTGTGTTAATTAGTCCACGAGTAAGAGAGAGTTAGTTTTACTATACTTCGAAGAGATACAAAAGAGTATGATAAAAAATAATGCTACTTCTCTATGTGGCACTAGATTGTACCAGGGCTCGTTGGCCGGTTGCACTATGATAACCCTAATTAACAAAACTTCAAAGTTTAAATTTCAGTAATATTCTTTTCTTTTACATTTGTTTCATGATTGTATTATATGTAAATGTCATGCGCATTAACAAACAATGGTAGCATATTTACAAAATAGCAATACAATTTTTTAAGTTTTACCATTGAGAAAGTCTAATTTTTCAATGGCTTTGTAAATAGAAAATGAGCATCCATAAGAACGATTAATAACATTGTAAATGGTGGATTTGTTGAAATTAAAAAGATAGAACTTAGACAAGGATATATAAACTTCTAATAAACTTAAGCATTTATATACTTGCCTGGCCCAAACTTTTTCCATATTTAACATTCTGACCAATCCTTTTCGCATTTAACATCGTGGCCCCAACTAATCCTACACTTTACTAATTTGGCTAAATCCAAGAGTTAAATGTTAGTTTTGACAGTCAAAACCGCTGACTGGTCAACCAGCCACGTTGCTGCCTAGTCAGCTTAAATAAACTTAAAAAAATCTTATATTCCACGTAATCCTTAAAATTATTATAATTAAATAAAAAATTAAAACAAAAATTGAATGCCATTTTCTATATGTGGTGATTTTATTTTCAATTTGTAAATCATAAATTAAGTGGGAGGATCATGATCATTCTAACTTTCTAAGTTAAATTTACGAAGATTTGAAGCTTAGTAAAAGTTCAATAAGCAAGGTGGGACCCACTTTTTTAACAATGTAACAAAATTTTGATGATCGGGATACAATTAGCTAGAAATTTTCACATAGATCGGGTCCAGTTATAGAATTGATAGTCCATAAATTCTATTGTATATATGAAGTTAAATGATGCTAGACTAATATATATTTTTCACTCCAAATATGTAAAAATTGATATAATTTTGTATTGTATAATTAATTTGATTTTTAGTTAAAAGATTACAAATTAAATTATAAAAAATGAAATATGATTAATTGAAAACTAATAACGGAGTGGCAATGCATGTTGATTATACACCTAATATATTAATAAACTGATAATATTCTAAATTAGCTAAATGGATACAATAACACAGAACTGCTAATAATAATAATTTGTATAAATATATATAGATGAATTTTACAATGCTTCATCTGGTTGGTGCTTTCATATGCACAAAAAATATTTTATGCACAAATTGAACTTATATCCTTAACGTTATAGTCAAGTTCAGTTTATATTTATACTTTTTCATGCAAATTCATTTATAATGCAAGCGGATCGTGTACCTTTAACATTATGGTACAGTTCTTTGTCAAAAAAACATTATGGTACAGTTTGACCTATATATTTTCCTACATATTAGTTTATGACACAAATTGAATTTGGACTTTAATGAATTAGGCAGGGATAATCAGTCCGGTTGCAAACACCAATAATTGAAGTATAGAAGATGATCTCATATATATATATATATATATGAAAAAGCTAGCGTACGCCTGGTGTATGTTATATGCTTGCGTTCGCAACTATTATTTGTACTTTGATATATTTCGATGAATCAAATCATTGGTTATTATTTTAAGATTAAATGAATCTCTTGATTTGGGTTCAAAAATTAGAGACTGCGTTTCACCCATTAGATGTTAGGTTATAATATTATACCCCAAACTTCGATTAAATCATGACATAAATAGCAAAACGTGACTGATGTAATCTAACTTGAACCATATATATATATACTTTTAATTTTACTCAAGCTACTAAAGAAGAGCACTATATATATATATATATATATATATATATATATATCATATTAATTAAAAAGGAGTGGCTCTTTTCAGTTGGAGACCCGATTAATTTTTTAATTCATAATTTGGATGTTTTAAACCCACCAAAATGACCAGAGAATCTTCCCTAACTATGCGCATAAGCTAGGAAAAACTCAATTATATGGGTTCTCACGCGGAACCTCTATACATTGTTTGTAGGATAACCCTAATCCAATATGATAAAAGAATAAAGTTACAAACCAGACCCATAACAGAAACTCAAATAACAATGAACCCATATACTATGAATCGGGGGCATTGCTTACAGTGGTAGCCAGGTAGTCAAGTCATATCAACAATTCTTTTATCTTGTTTTCTCATTTGAGTACATGTTGTTGAGGTTTATCATCTATCCCCACCAGCAAACATTTATATATAGATTGAACCCAAAGTATTCAAAATTGTGCTTTAAAACTTAAAAACTTATGATTTTAACTACATTGATTGAGCCATCGATCAAGACCAAGACTAAAGTTTGAGAGGCGTTAGTTGCTACCTTTTGAGAATCATCATTAGCATATAAAGCACTGTGGTTGAACGAATAAGGTAGGAGTGGTTGAGGATCACAATATCGAGATCATCCCGAGGTTGATCCCCATCTATAAAAAAAAAATATCATAAAATATCTGCAACGGAGCAAAAGAGCATATTCCAACTCGATCTACATCTCAAACTTAAACTTGAGAGTTGGCTTGGATGATGAATTGTGGCACTCCATTCCTTTGGGAGAGAGGAGACGGGCGATGAATGAAGATGGATAGTTCGTAGAGGATTACCACATTGGCTTTTATGGTTCCCACCCACAGTAATATCACATCGTTAAAGACAACAAAATAAGCCCGGCCGCTTTGGGATGACAAATTTACCTAGACTCATGAGTATTTTACTATCCAACCCAATTGGGTTGGGTATGAAATCCAAATAGATGGATATGGATACAGTTTGATGGGTTTGTACTCATATGAGTAAAATTTGATGGGTTTGTACTCATATCAAATTACTTGGGTTGGGTTGGGTTGGATTTTTAACACATGGATTTGAGTTTGTATCCATGTCCAAATGCAAATTACAGTTTGATGCCTAAACTTAATAGATATACATATTTAGTACCTGAATGTAATTTTTTCTGCATATAAGTCCTCAAAATATCAATGAAAATTTATGTTTTAGTACTTAATTTTTTTGTCTTACATTTTGGTACATAAACTTTTCAAGTTTTACAAATAGATCCAATTTTTGTATGTGTAGTTAAAACACATTCAAATAAATGGATATCCATATCCAACTCATACCCATCTAGATTATGAAAACAATATCCATACACAACCCAAACCCATCTACAAACCCCCAAACCCATATATACCTCATTCATACCCTACCCATTATTAATGGGTCTATTTAGATTTGAGTATAATTACCCATGGGTAGGTAATTGTCATCCCTACACCAGCTCCTTTCATTATTGCATAAGCATGACTTGGTGTTATGCATGTTGATGTTACAATTTGGCGTGATTGCAACACGGGAGAACCATTGCAAGATTGATGCGGGAGCCATCTCAAGATGACTCGTTTAGATCCCCCATGTTTGAGTTTGTCTTCAGTTGGAGGGTTGTGGATGCCAGGTGTCATGCGCTGCGTCTGACACTTGTGTGCATCTGTACACTTCTCAGGACGTGTAATCAATTATTGAAATATGTCCGGGCTCCAACAATTACTAGCCCAATTGCACTTCGGGGTCGTTTGGATGGGAAAATGTTTAAACAAGGGATTTGGGCTTAATTCTATCTTTTAAAATACCAGGGATTTTGAAACAAGGAATTTGACTAATTTATCTATTTGTTTACGAATAAGAATGTCATTAATCATAAATTTATTTTTATTGACAAACAACAATTACACATTCACCCTTTTCAACACTGTGCACCTAACCCCACTTCTCTTCCTCCTCCCCAATGGAGTCAACCATTCGCCCAACCCTCACTTTCTAATTTGGATTCTTGTCTCCGATTACCAAAGAAGCAGAGACATGAAAGCTCGATTTGGTGCAGATGGCAATTGGCAATAGCGAGGACGAGATGATAGTGGATCTAGGTTATTGCGTATCCAGATCTACTATTTTTCTGATTGAACTTCCTTTATTACTGAATTGAAGGAAGAAAACATACAGAATCCAGCCAGAAAAGCTGAATTTATACATTGGTTTCCAGAGATATCGAACGGAGGAAAATCCGTTATGAACCTAACAAACTAGGTTAATTACATTTTGATACCTATTATATCCTAGTTACATTTATTCTATACTAAACCTAATCCTAAACTATTTTTTGTTTACACAATGATCCTAA